TTGCAAAAGCATTGTAGCTAACCCCACCTAAGAAACTTCCATGCTGTTTCTATAATTTCTAAAATGTACTTCACACCAACTGTGCATCTCCATTCTTTTCTAATTCCTCTCAACTACGTACAGTTTTCTATGTTGTGCTTCATTTGGACTGCTTTGCTTTCTCAGGTCCTAGCCTCCTTCTTTTCTATAACCATGGATCTACATCCCCTTCCTCAAGCCTTGCTGCTTGTCCCAACTCTCTAAAGTCAGACCAGTTTGGCCAGTGGCAACCCAAAATACATCTGCCTGTCCAGGAAGTTCAACTAAATACTACTAGAGGTTTAGTCACCACTGCTACATCACTTAATACATTACAATATAGGTTCATGTTCAGGGTATAATTTATGATGTTTTATTTTGGGAAGATCTGTTTCCTTGGTCACATCAGTTGGTGCTATTTTTTTCTGTAAACTCCTCTTCCATCCCAATGGACTCTGCTGCTCACGTCGCCTGTCAATCCCCTCTTTATCCCACCCTTCCTCCAATCTCCCTTCCCTTATATTGACCTCACAACAATGGCAATATCACCCAGCCTGATGAAGGGAGCTTTGACTCTTGGAAGCTTATTCCATGAAACTCTTGTTGGTCTCTAATCTGCTACTGGACTCAAATCTAGCTGTCCCAATATAATTGAGTAAGCGTCATGCAAAATGTAGATCTGAACATAGGTCTCCTCAATCCACATTGGTCTTCATGCCATTGGTCCATCTACTTCAGCATGGTCTGCTCTGATGCAGGTGAGCTCTAGAGACTCAGACAGAGAAAGATCCTTTCCAACACCTGTCTCTTAGACCTCCTCGGTTTAAACCTTCATCCTTTGGCACACAAAGCATGGTCTCTCTACCATCAGTCCATCAGTGTCATCATTTACTCAGACTGGCAGTGGTTCTACAGGGTTTTATGTAGAGGATTTTGCCCATGCCGTGCTTTGTTTCTTAGCTGCTGCGGCCTGGCTAGGGGGGTTCCCAAGGGTTCCCAGGCCCCCCTAAATTTCTGGAAAGCCCCTTCTTAAATCACACATGGCTCCACCTCCATAAATTGTGACAATGGCCTGTGATGTCACTGGCTCCTCCCTATGATGTCACTGGGCCTTGGTTCTTTTAAAGACCTAGCACAGCAATGCCTCCTCGCCCCGCCCCCGCCCCCCCCCCCCCCGGAAATTGGAAAGTCTATGCCCTTGGCCCCCACACTCTTAACCACTACACCATACTGGCTTTCCCCTATACTTCAGAGCTGTTTTCTGTTGCCACTAATCACTGGGCCATGCCCCAAAACCTTCCCTCGTCCTCTCAGCCACTGCCCCTGTGCTTGCGTTGCTGCCCCTCTTGCCAGTTTGCACGGGACATGGAGCTGGGTCGATCAGGCAACAGGAGCGGAGAGCAAGTCCGGCAAGCAGGCTCCAGCTTCCATTTCTTAGGTACAGAATTAACTGAAAGGAATGCCCTTGACCTGGTGATTTGCTGCAATGCACAAATCTGCCTTGTACAGAGTCAGACAGTAGGTAGGTCCGTCTAGCCCACTTTTGTCTCTCCGTCCAGAAGAAGAGAGGCCTTCCCCCCCATCCTGCTTCCAGAGGCGCTACAGGCTGAACTTGCCACAGCACACGGGCAAAGTATATGTGTAGCCACTGAGGTATGAGCCCCCCTCTGCAAGGGAGTTCCCATTCGCTGCATGAGCCCAAAATGGGGGTGAAATTCCACTGAGATTCAAGGGGCAGCTCCCATCCACACTGCCAGCACTGCTCTGTGAAGCGGGCATCTGAACTGGCTTTCAGCACGGATGCTTTGGAGAGGGTTTCCAACATAAACTGCAACTCTAGCTGCCAAAAGATTTTGAATAAATATTTTTTTGGGGGGAAAGCTGAAAACTAACATGCTTATTCCAACCTTGTGTAGGTAAACAAATGCTTCTTTGAAACTTTTTCTGTTCCTCTAAATCTGGATTGGGGAGAGGTGGGGGCATTGCACATTTAACCTTTGGACTTGGGTGAGTACTGACAGAGCCCCCCCCCCCATGTCTCACTGCAGGTCCACCTGATGAAGCCAGACACAGTTCCCAAGGCTTGCTGCGCCCCCACCAAACTCAGTGCCACGTCCGTGCTCTATTATGACAGCAACAACAACGTCATCCTCAAGAAACACCGCAACATGGTGGTGAAGACGTGTGGCTGCCTCTGATGCCCTGGGAGACCCTTGGCCTGCCAAACTCCAGGTGGGGCCTGGAGATATCCCAGAATTACAGAGATCAGTTCCTCTGATCAGTTTCTCCCAGAGATCAGTTCCTCTGGAGAGAAAAAAATGTCTGCTTTGGAGAGTGGCATTATACTCCACTGAGCTCCCTCCCCTCCCAAAACTCAGCCCTCCCCAGGATCCACCCCCAAATCTCCAGGAATTTCCCAACCTGGAGCTGGCAACTGATGGGCAAGGGGGGAAATCAGGGATGGTCTTGTGGGGTAGGCAGCACCTGTTGCAGAAGTGTGTTAAGAGGAACTGACAGGATGAGATTGGTTACCTTCCCTCTTTCCCATAGTTAAAGAACAGGCAGTGGCACTTGACCATGGACTGACATGGGTGGAAAGGCCTCGCTTTGGCTAGCAGCTGGTTTGTTCCTAGCCTGCGCAAACAACGGGCCCCAATAGAAAGGCCTCTGCCAAGGAAACTAAAACATGACCTGGCTACAGACACAGGTCTCTTTTGTCCTCTGTGCCAGATTCCTCCCAAAGATCCTGCAGTTTAAATTAAATTTAAAAACTAAATTAAATTTAAGCATCTGAAGGAGAAAACCCATGGAAACTGATATGCTTGCTTTGCATAAATATACTTTTATTTGTATGCTTTATTTTGTACCTAATACGTTGAGGGTTTTTTTTAAAAAAATGCACATTTTAAAAAATTTTGTAAGGAGCAATGAAAGAGCAAAAGCCCTCACCTGGATAGCCCAGGCTAGCCCAGTCCTGTCAGATCTTGGAAGCTGAACAGGGTCGGCCCTGGTCAGGGGAGGTCAGGGTTGCTACGCAGTGACAGGCCACGGCAGACCACCTCTGAACATCTCGTGCCTTGAAAACCCTGCAGGGTCACCCTAAGTCAGCTGTGACTTGACAGCCCTTTCCACCACTAATGTAAGTGATGATGGACACTTTGGGTGTACCTGAGGAAAAAGATTTACCTGCAGCCCCGATTTTGTAGACATCTCAGCATGTATTCAAGCTCCTTCTCAAGCAAGAGGGACAGAAGGAGTATGTCTTAAAAAAAAATCTTACATTTTTCAAGATCCCAAAGCTTGAGTATGAACAGATTCCTTGTGAGTGGAATCCGGCCCTGGAAGGTACTCGAATGCTTATGCAGGTTATGCAGGTTATGTCCATTCACAGCAGGTCAGATCATGTTGATGGCACATGGTGCAGGTGAGATGTAGATTTAAGCATAAGATGAACGGGACCATCGTCTTGCATTCCAGAGTCCTGCCCAACTAGAGTGCTCCTCTGTGCATGTGCAGTTGGACCGGTGGAGGGGGATAGATGGGCGGGGAGAGGGACACCAAGCACACAAGGAAGGGCTTCACCTGCACTCCTGTCTGAAAGGGAAGGAATACTGCTGGTAGGTGGTACGAAAGTGATAATCCAACCTGCCCATCAACTCTTTAGCTGACAGGGTTGCACCCTTGCCCAGCTAATCACCTCCTGCATAGTGTGTAAGCCCTCCATTTTTTTTCATTGACTGCACTTGGAAAAAAGAAGGAACTGGGACAGGTCAGATGGAAGTTTGGCAGTCCATAGCCACTTCCAAAATGCGAGCTCAGTTCTTTGGGTTTGCAATGCTCCCTCTAAGCTGTGGAGTCTTGTGAGCAAAAATTCTACTTTGTGAGCTACTGGCATTAAAGTTGTGAGCGAGCGATTTGGCTACTGCATAAATTAGTTTGCTCTGGGCCACCCTTCCTGAGCTAAGACAGAAATTTGTGAGCCAGAGGCTAAAAAACTGTGAGCTAGCTCACACTAACACAGCTTAGAGGGGACACTGAAGCATGCTTTAATGCTTTCCCCGCTAACTGCCTTTTTCTATGCATAGTTGGCTAATTCAAATGAAGTAGTCTTTAGAATATCCATAATGAGACAGTTATTTTCAAATATACTTTGAGTGAAGCTTATTTACATGCTGGGGGGGGGTCAGTTCAGTCCTTTCAGAGAATCCAAAGTCTAGGATTGCCAACCTCCAGGTGGGACCTGGAGATCTCCCAGAATTACAATTGATCTCCAGACTACAGAGATCTGTTCCCCTGGAATAAATGGCTGCTTGGGAGTGTGGACTCCATAGCATTACCCCTCCCCAAACCAGACCGTCCCATAGCAAATCTCCAGGAATAGAATCGTTATTTAATATCTTTTCAAATTCCGAAAACTTTAGACATAGTGTGTTGCATGTTTTAGAATTGACTAACTTTCTAATCTGAAAGTACTCAAACCATGGAATAACTAAACTCTGTGAGCCTTCTAGTTGTATTTTTGACTTAATATAACCTTGAGAAGTAATAGCAATGAATCGTGTTAAATTCAATTGTTTCCAAACTTTATAAGAGTTTCGATGCCAGACCGGCTGAAACCATTTCTGACCCGTAAAATTCGATAAAGGTGATAATTGTGGGGCAAGAACCTGTATTTGCTCCAGACCTTAAGTGTGGCCTTCACAAAGGGGTTATTAATTGCCCTAAATGTATTATAAAATCTGTTATTCCAAAGGGATTCACTAAAAGATTCAGTAGGTAGAAATGAATCTTCCATATACTTCCAATCAGCTTTATATGAGTTTCTGTACTGTTTAACTAAATTGGCCAATATTATTGAGTCATGATAAAGCTGGATGTCTGGTATCACTAATCCTCCGTTACTTCTTGATCTTTTAGTAGTTATGAAATTTATCCTTGGTTTTTTGGATCTCCAAATAAAGTTATTAATATCTTTTTGCCACTTCTTTAGGAGAGAACTCGGGACTAGTATTGGGATTGCTCTTAAAAAGAAAGTCAGTTTAGGTAAAATTAAAGACTTCACCACTCTGATACATTCTAATAAAGATAGACTTTGTTCCATCCAATTTTGTAGGTGAGAAGAGATTTGATTAGAAATGTTTAAGTGATTCAATTTCAATGAATCTGATAAATCTAACGGGATCTGAATTTCTAAGTATCTAAATGAAGTAGAAACCCATTTATATTTAAAATTAGAACAGAGAAAGGTTTTAGTTTCCGCCTTTATATTGGTGGGATATAATAATGTTTTTTCGGTATTAATTTTGAGTCCCGATGCTTGACTAAAGCGTTTAAGATGCTTTTCTAAGTGATTCTAAGTGATTCCTTAGGATTTGATATAAATAAAATCATATCATCTGCAAATAAACTTACTTTTGCCGTTTGTGTGTTTACAGTTAATTCTGTCAGGCACGGGTCGTCTCTTAATAGATGTGCCAACGGCTCTACTGCTATGGCGAACAAGATGGGAGACAAGGGGCAACCTTGTCTGGTGCCTCTTGACATGGGCTGAGAAGGAGAATTGATTTCGTTGGTTTTTAATAAAAATGTTGATGAACTATATATAGATTGAATTACGTGTATAAATTTGTTTCCAAAATTCATGTAATTTAATAGCGTGAGAAGATATTCATGTTCAACTGAGTCGAACGCCTTTTCGACGTCCAATGAGAGTAAACAAGATTCTATTTCTGAATTATGTTTATTATGTTGGATAACATTTATGGCCTTTCTTATGTTGTCAGTCATGTCTCTTTGTAGGATAAAACCGGTTTGGTCCCTATTTATATAGTCTCCAATAATTTGGTTTAGTCTACGGGTGATGATATTAGTAAATAATTTATCATCGTTGTTTAACAATGAGATTGGACGGTAAGATTTAGGGTCTTCCGAGTCTCGGTCCTTTTTGTGAATTAAGATTACCTTCGCTAAATTCCAAGATTTTGGAACTGGTCCCATTTCTAAAATTGAATTGAATAAGGTAAGAAGAACTGGGGAGAGAGAAGAAGAAAAATGTATAGAATTCAGAAGTATAACCATCTACCCCTAGAGATTTATTAGTTTTCATAGATTTGATGGCCATTATTAATTCCCTTTCATCTATTGGATGCTCCAGAAAATCTTTGTGAATATTGGATAGGATTTTTATAGATTTGTTGGATTTAATAAAAGAATCAATGATTTGTGCTGGTGGATTTGTTGATGTATATAATTGTGCATAATATTTAGTGAACACTGATGAAATTAATTGAGAAGATGTCAATAAATTACCTTTATCATCTTGTATTCCTTTTATGCCTGAGTCTAATTTCTGCTTTTTAACTTTCCATGCTAAAAGTCTTAAGGCTCTTGGGTTGTTGCTCCAGTAGGCTTGTTTTGTGTATAATAATTGTTTAGAAATTGAGTGTACCTCTAGTGTTTGCAATTTTTTCGTTCTAATTCCAATAATTTGTATATCTTAGGGCTGCAAGTCTTTTTGTGTTCCATTTCTAAATTTTTATGGTGTTCATTAGCTGTTGTTTTAATGCTGCTTTCTTCTTTTTGAGCGCGACCAAAATTGAAATAAGTTTGCCCCTTAAAACAGTTTTATATGCATCCCAAATTACATAAATGGGGGTTTCAGCCTTAGTATTAAATTTTTAAAACTCTTCTGATTCCTTTTCTATTTGTTTAATTACCTCAGGGTTTTTTAGTAGGAAATTGTCAAATTTCCATGAAAAACTTTTATCTGTCCTAGATTTTAAGTTCTATCTCTGCTGAGACTAAGTTATTGAAAATGTCTTTAGAAATTATTATGTAATCAATCCTTGAGTGAGACTGAAATCTATATGAAAAATAAGTAAAATCTCGTTCCTGTGCATGGAGAGATCTCCAGGAGTCAATAAAATAAATTTTTTGAAATATCTTTTTCAACCCAGTGTAATTAGGCTGATTTATCATGTTTGATTTAGGTTTGATATTGAACCTTTTCCTGTCTAAAAAGTTATGCATAATGTAGTTAAGATCCGCCCCCATAATTGAGTGACACCTTCTTGAAAATTATTTATGACTTCGAAAACTTATTTTATAAAGCTAATTTGACCCGAGTTAGGGGCATAGACCTCTGCAAGCATCACTTTACTCTCATTTAAAATACCTTTGAGAATAAGATAGCATTCTTTTGGGTCCTGGATCATGTCTATCA